ATCCGAAACCCAACTCAGGCCAACCCCAAGCCATCTTTTCCGGCTCCCCTTGGTCGGGCCAGGCCCAATCGATTTCCATGGCAAGTTGAAAAGCATTTAACTGTCAATTAAATACAATTTCCACATGCTTGTTATTGATTTTTCTCTCCAAACTGTCGACAAGTGGAACGAAGCTGGGAGTCGGGGTTACGGTGATGTTGATGTTTGTTGCTGGATTTCAATTGAATACGAAATGGGAGTTTGACTGCCGACTGTCGGCTGTTAACTGTTAACTGCCCCGATGACGATGATGGCGATAACGATGATGGCTCGACTCTGCCTGTCGCCACGTGTTAATTGCAATTAGACCAGCACGCTCTCCTCTCCTCTTCGCTCCTCGGCTCTCCTCCCCATTCTATTTCCATCCATAAATTATGCAAATTCCATTCGGACGAGCATAAATTGAGACAAGAAATCACATCAAATCCAATCACATCAAAAGACAAATCAAACAGGCCGCTGGGGGATTGCCCAAGCCTCGGAAAAGCAAATTATTAATTTGCGCAACAAATGTTGGGCATTTTTTTATGTGCTGGCTGCCGTTGCCATTGTCGTTGTCCCCGGACTAACTTATGACACGGCCATGTCCATTGTTTGCTAAACGGCATTAGACAAACCAGCCACGAGACAGTCGCAACAATCGCCGCAATCACAGCAATTACAGTCTGGCCAATCCAAATCCAAGTCCCAATCCCACTGAACATAATAAATGCTACGATTCGATTAAAAGATCAGCCACAAACGAGCCCGGTCCCGAATCGGAGCGACTCCGTGTCTCCCAAGTACGACAATCCCAAAACAGAGTAAAAACAAGCAGGAACGATCTAGTCAAGGATCGGACCGTAGGATACCCGTTCCCTTAAAAATTGGATGAAAATAGTTTTGGTTAGATATGTGTATAAAGCCCCACCTTATAGCGCCCTCATATCTTTAAAATGGCGGTTGCCACAGCATTACAGAAGGTGCAGCTTTTATATGTCCAGAGAAGAGACCTTCCGCCTGGGACCAACCAATATACCCTCCTATTCTCCGATGGCGGGGTATGAAAACGAATGCACTCGAATGAGATTGACAATGAGAGCAGGCAGCGCACTGCAGCAGCGCAGCTAACGAGAGCCATCGATCCTTATTGCGGGCGAGAAGGAGAGATGAAGAGAGAAAGAGAGAGAGCTCTGCTCCGCTCTGGGCCTCGGCTCTGCTGATGTTGCTCGTTTGTAAGCTACATACATTTTTGCGCTTCGAACGACAGCAGAGAGGCTCAAAGCTCGGCTTTGATTCCCCAATCTCCCGACACTCCCCGTACCCCGTGCCCCGCACTCTTTGGGGCACTTTCTGGGAGTAAGAGGCGCAGTTTCGCTACTGCTAGAGATACTCGTGCACAGGAGCGGACTCAATGGGAGAGGGTCAGGGATCATTATACTCAGAATTATACTCTAGAAATGAACACTGAAAACTGTTTCAGAATAGTATCCCCCACCCTTTTGAGCTGCGCTCCCGACTGCTGTCCGTCTCTGTCTCTCCGCCTCGCGCCTTCCACCGCCCGCCTCCTCCCGCCCGACTGAGCAGCTTTGTTTAAATAAAAGCCTCTTTAAGTTTATCTATTGCCGCGCATCTAAATTGTGCGCGGTGCGGTGCGGAGAGGTGGAAGATGGAGGAGGTTGCCGCTGCCTCTGCTTCTGCCACTCGATGCGATTATGCTATTTGTTGCTGTTGTTGTTGTTGTTGTTGGCAGTACTGATGCTGCTGCCGCTGCCGCTGCTGCGATGGAGCCCAAACCAAGTCTTGTAATGTTTCGCCGGCGCGCTTTGCTCTTTTGTCGTTGTCGCTGTTACTTATTGCTTGCGTTGTAGGCTTCATGTTTTGATTGTATTTATTTTAGTTTGAGTAACTTTACTTACTTCTCCCGACACCCCGTACTCGTGCTGAGCAAGGGCGTATTGACTTGTAGGAGGAGTTTAAGACAGGTAGAGGGAAACTATTTGGTATATAATTTGCATTCCTGCTTGGAATTCCTACTTAGAAGATGAGTCGATCAACAATTATACAATTATAATTATAAGAGAGCTATAATATGTATAAGAATTTAGTAACCAACTTCCATTCGTTGTTTTTAGTGGAGAAAACAGCTGGAGAATACAGAATCTAGTAGAATCCAGAATATTGTATATGTATAATATTTTTGCGGCCTAGTATATAAAAAAATTTAATTTTTGGTACCACAGGTATATTTTAATACATTATAAAAATCTTCCATAATAATTATTAATCTGAAAAAAAATATTCACTGAAGGAAAAATATGTAATTTCTATGATTTTTCCATGACTGTACCGATCCATCAAAACCATCACAGTATAAATGATGTTATAGTTAGAAATAGGAAAACAAGTTAATCTTTAATCAATTTCTATATATGTATATTTCTGGCTCACAATGATTTACAGAATATTAAGAAGAAGCTTAGGTATCCAGAATTTTAAAAGCCATTTTCTAAAGCTATACATATGTATGTATCTAAAGCTAGATTGAGCAAAGCCCATACTCGGGGCTCATTCTTTTCAGGCTCTCCAAATAGATATCTTCCTACTTCAAGGGTATCCCCAGGGTCGTAACAGCTCCCACCGTTGCCCCAGTGGCTGTTTGCCGTCCATTTCTGATGAAGATTTTCTGCCCGATTAACTAGCGAGATCGCTTACGCTTCGAATGTGAATGCCGCATGCGGCGTCTTTTATGTGAAAAGCGTTTCGTGCGCGGCTTTAATCATGTCTTTCTGCTTCTATCCCCTTCTTGGCTGGAATCTGCTCAGTGAGTGAGCAGTGGAGGGGTGCCGGAGAGAGAGAGAGATAGAGAGGGAGGGACTGGTTGGTGGCGGGGTTAGATCGCTTTTCAGACATTTTGAGCAATTGCGTTTAATTTTATTCATAATTCGTGGTCTTGGGTTACCCGTGGATTATATCTGGTTGTTTTCCCTCTTATTTTCTTCGCTTCTTTTTATTGTACTGTTTAATCGCTGTATAATTGTTTCTTTTGTCGAAAGCTGAAATTAAGCTTGATTAATTCGTCGGTTTTGGGGGGACTATCTCCGCGTCGGCATCTGCCACGCGGTACTTTGTAATGTTGCAACAAAGTTATTAAACTGGATTTCGGCTTGATTGGGGAATGGGAATGGAAATGGGGGTGTGTGTGCATTTGGGGCGTGGTCGCCCGATCCGTGCATGCATTATGGCCGACCGCAGTCGGTGTCGGGCGAGCGATAATAAAGCGTGGACAGAAAATTTCCATGATCTCCGGAGAGCTTTATGGGTTCAACAGCAGCGATAAAAACACCGATTGCTGGAATTCCGATATTTTGTTGCCATGTTTTTACGGCCAATCCCGATGCTGTCTGCGATAAGCGGAAAAGGTGCCACACTGATGGGCGATTCCAGATATGAAATATGATCCATTAAAAACACACACAACATGGCTAATGGAACACCCAGTACTGGGAGAAAATTTGACAAAATATACCTTCGAATACCTTCAGGACAGTCGCTCTGAAAAGGGTATATATATAGGCTCTGGGAATGGTTCGAATTTTGATGGCATTTGGTATTTATAGAAACGTATTACCTAAACTAGGAGCTAAATGGCGAAAGGATGCTCCTGTTACTCCTGACGGACGTCGAGGTGGTGGCGACACTTTCATTTCATTTTCGATTAGCCATTGCAAACTTGTTTTCACCCCACACACATGCCACACCACACCACAGACAAAAGTCATAAATAGTTGAAAGGAAAGCTAAATGCAGATTTATGAACACAAAGCAATGCTTGCCACTCAAACAATGCACAATATGTTGGGCAATTAGACAAGCCCAGGGGCAGAGGGACCCCTGGCACCTCTCAGAGATCCCTCATGCCTAGAGCAGATCAACCCCCCTCCAACTTATCCGCACTACGCTCCTGCATTTATATTCATTTACGCAGAAACTATCATCAATGTTGTCCGATGGAATGATGGGCACTACAAAAACAAGTAGAACAGCAAAAACAGAATCGAAAGCAATTATGAAATCACAGCAGATGTTGGAACAACAGAGCAAAAGCAGAAATTGTGGTGGTGATTTATAAAGCGCAGCTAACGACACACAAACAACACACGAAAAGCAACAACAATGATATCAAAAAGCGCAAAATGCTTGCGAAAAACAAAACAAAAAAATGAAACAAGAGGAAAAAACGTCAAAAGAAACGAAAGCAACACAAGGCTCTCTGTGGCATGTGTTGCACGAGTACATAGTGGCCACAAACACACACACACACACACACACACACCAGCGCGCAGGCAGACATGGGCCTGTGTACCGTGCTGTATATAAAACAGGATGGAGGATGCCACTAAAAGGACTGCCAGACCGCAGAGGCAGAGGCAGAGAGCCACAGAGAGGAACAGAGAGCAGGGAGACGACAGTGGAACCTACATAGAACGAGATTTACGACTTAAATGCTGCAGCGCATAATCAAAACGAGAGACACACAGAACATCAGGGAACATGGCCAGGGACAGCGGCAGCGGCTGAGGGAGAGGAAAAGAGTGCTGAAGTGGACTGCGAGCTGGAGTGGAGTGGAGTTTTCGGGGCGACGACGCACTTAATTAACAAATGTACAAACACTTAACATAACCTCAACTGACAGGCGAGCCGCAGCACGGAGATTGTCCGCCTGCCAGAGAGAGACGACGCTACAGCAGCAGCCGGTAGGACGCCCCAAAGACCGTTCATTGGATGTTCGAACCGATGCGGAGAGCGAGAGCGAGACAGAGGGCGAGAGCGAGCGAGAGCACGCCAAGGTGAGGGAGAACGTGTTCTGGCGGCGAATGAATCGAGTGAACCGAACCACCACCAGTTCGGATTCGGACCCGCTCGCAGCCGCCGCTTGCTTTCCAGTTTGCCAGATGGCGAGAGCTTCATTCGATTCATTCGATTCATTCGTGCGGTTCGGAACGGCCAGCGCCAGCGAGCGAGCAGCGTCGGTACTTTGTGGCTTTTAATGCTTTTTATGTTCAATCCGAGAGGAGAGCGACGCATATTCCCCCGCTCTGCGCGTGTGTGCGTGGCGTGTGTGTTACCGTGTTTGTGCTCGGGGAACGGAACAGTTATTTAGTGGAGTCGCCGTGCGGCTGAAAATGCCGTCGGCTTTGCAGTGCAACAGGAATAAAGATAAAGACAGAAACCGCCGAATCGCCCCGAGAAACTGATGTCCACTTTGGCAAGCAGTCGCCCTCTGCCTCCACTCAAATTCAGCATACTGAATCGCATCCAGCCAGAGGAGGAGGAGCAGGAGCAGGAGCAGGAGGAGGAGGACCACGACCACGATCACGATCAGGATCAGGAGGAGCAGCCGGAGGAGGCAATGCATCCGGACTGCCTGCCCCTGCCGCTGTCGCAGCACATCAGCAGTCCGCAGGTCGAAGAGGAGGTCGAGGACGAGACGGAAACGGAAACGGACCTGGGACGCACCTCCATCTGCAACGAGCGGCACCTCAACATCGAGGACGAGGATGAGGAGGAATCGGCCGATGCGGATGTGGACGAGGACCTCGATCTGGAGGACGCCGCCAGCTGTTGCAGCGAGAACAGCGTGCTAAGCGTCGGCCAGGAGCAGCACTCCCAGGCAGCGGCCCAGGCCCAGGCGCAGGCCCACGTCCATGTCCAGGCCCAGGCGCGACAACGGCTCCTCATGAGCCAGCTCTACCGCCCGTCGGCCTTCAGCAGTGTACCCAGCGATCCTCCCGCCGTCCCAGTCGATGCCGCTACGGATCCGGGCGGTGGTCTCCTGCCCCTGGGCGGGCCGCCCGCCGGCAGCTTCCAGGAGGAGTTCCTGCGCAAGTCGCAGCTCTACGCCGAGGAGCTGATGAAGCAGCAGATGCATCTGATGGCCGCTGCCCGCGTCAATGCCCTGACGGCGGCGGCAGCTGGCAAACAGCTGCAGATGGCCGCAGCAGCGGCGGCGGCAGCAGCAGCAGCGGCTGCTGTATCGGCGCCCACGGGCCAGGATGCACTGGCTCAGCTGACGGCGACGGCGCTGGGGATTGCAGCGCCAGGAGCGGGGCACCAGCAGCAGCTGCTGATGGCCCAGCGGGAGCGGGAGCAGGCGCACCACCATCTGCAACACCTCAACCACCACCACCTGCAGCACCACCACCACCACCACAACAACAACAACAATGAGAATCTGCACGAGCGGGCGCTCAAGTTCAGCATCGACAACATCCTGAAGGCGGACTTTGGCTCCCGCCTGGTGGGTGGCAACGTGGGGAACCATCACCCGAAGATCGGAGCAGGCGGTGGCAGCAGCAACAGCAGCCAAAACAGCAACAGCCATAGCCATCCCCTCAAGGCGCCCAAGAAGTCGGGCAAGGCGCTCAACCTGGCCCAGAGCCAGGCGCAGGCGGTCAACTCCAGCCTGAGCTTCTCCAGCTCCCTGGCCAACATCTGCAGCAACAGCAACGACTCGAACAGCACCGCCACCAGCAGCAGCACAACGGCCACCACTCTGGCAGTGGATCTGGTCAAGTCCCCGCCACCGGCGGCGGGAGGAGCAGCAGCCAAGGAGACAGCCAAAAAATCTGGAGAGGACTCGGGTACGCCCATCGTGTGGCCGGCGTGGGTCTATTGCACTCGCTACAGCGATCGCCCCAGCTCAGGTGAGTCCATACCCACGGAAGCCATTCATTCACTCATCCACTCGCTTTCCCAATCCAAACACTCGAGTGGGGCTCCCAAAAGCGTTGAGTGTTGAGTGCCCCATAAAGCGGTTGTGCAAACAAGCTACAGACACCGCACACTCCACACCACTCCAAGTCGCACCACATCGTTGCAAACCACAGCAGCCCACAGCTCATTAGTTTACCAACCACCAGAAAAACATAAAACAAAGGAGGAGAGTCGGAGGCTCCCTACGAAGGTACCCAAGGTACCCCGAAAAACCTTACTCTTGCAGAGTGGTAGGAAATCTTTTGATCAGAGTTTTAGTTCCTTCCTTAGGGGACTTTTCTACAATACAGATATCCATATCCGAGTTAGAAGGGCCTTGAAGATCTGATGGAGGATGGAGGGCAATATATTTTGGATCAGGATACGTACAACATTCCTAGTCGGAATTGTTTTAATAGTTAGGAATAACAATAGTTGAATAATAATGTGCGCTGCAAGGGTATAAATAGAGTGAAATGGATACATATACACACAGAGAGAGAGAGAGAGAGAGAGGGAGAGGAAACCCCAATTGGAGGAAGGAGGCCCGAACCGAAACAATGCCCGTACTCACCCTTGTGAAGTGTCTGCTCGAGTGGTTTTTATGTCCTTATGGCTTATGTAACATAACTTAAGCTCATTATGCCCTCTCTCCCCACCCCCGACCGCTTCTGTGCGTGTGTGAACCCACCCTTCTCCTGCCACCCCTCTCCCTCCTGCCATGGCAATCATGGCCACACTCATGAATTTTGTTTATGCCACCGCAGGGAATCCGTAATCGTTTGCCCAATAATTTCATGCGGCCAACTAAGTGGAGTGATGGAGTGATGGAGTGGTGGAGTGGAGTGGAGTGCTGCAGGGAGGAGTTTATGTACTCCATATGCTGTGGGTGTGGGATGGGGCCCTTGGAGTTCATTTCCAGGGTGTCCTTTTATTGCGACTGAATGTGTGTGTTGTACAAGCAATTTGGATTCTTGGTTTATTTTTTGGGTGGGCAATCTGTAATCCCCTGGAATCCCTGTGGGTTCTATGGATCCTGCGGTTCGGGTGGGAAAATTAGAAAGTGATTTTGCTATTACAAGGATTTTCGAGTCAAGCAAAGACGTTTTTGATTAGCTCCTTGAAAGGTGGAAGAATAAAGAACTAAATGTAAATGTATTGGTTGAATAATTCTTTAGGTAGAATATAATAATGGAATTAAATTGCTGGCTAAGGAGATGATGGATTGTGCAACAGTGTGGTTGGATTACAAAAGACTCTTTTGATTCATTTAATTGCTTTATAAAGTGTCATATGATGCAACTGCTATCCATAGGAGCTATTCGAATGAATCAGTAAAATGCAACGGATTCGATGGAATTTTATAAATATTTGAAGGTAAAACTATTATTCTCTCATAAGAATGAAAGTCTCATCCCTTTAAATATAGCATCGTGGCAACTAATTGCACAATATTTGGATAATTGATAGGTTTTTATTGTTCCAATGTTCTTTTTGCCTAATGCTTCTCCATTGCTCCCATATATTGTACACCGAAATGGGTATAATTTCTCAGCAATTTACTCATTACGCTGATTAGTGTCAAACCCCATGATTATTCAGAGCGTGGGGTGGGGGCACTATACAAAAACGGGGAGGAGGGGAGTCCGACGAAACGGAATTCCAAGTTTTCGAGTGCATAAATCTACGCTTTTGGGTGGGTTTTTTTTTTTGTCGCGCTCGCTAATTAACTTGAAACGATTTTTCGTTCAGGCCTTCCCTCTCTCTCTCTGCCTGCCCCTTTAGACTGCCGTCTCTTTCGCCCTGCTGGGTGGCTTTTAAGGTGTGTTTATTGTTGTGGGGCTTTTTTCATTTTCTCAGTTTCATTTTTTTTTCCAGCTCTTTTCTGTATAAATTTAGCGTGACTAAAACGAGATCTCGATCGCAGTGCGGTTCCATAATTTGAATGAATGTTGTAGGCGATGGCGTCGTTGTCGTCGATTCGGAGTCGCCTTCGGAGCTGCCACAGCTGCAAGCAATGATTTAGCGTGAGATTTGGCCCAAAAGAGAGGCCCAATCACTGCAGCAGCGCCAGCTACGAAATCAACGAATTAAAATTCCCAACCAACAAAGAATAAAGCTCATAAATTTGCGTTGCCTTTTTTTTCTGTTTTTTTGAAACTATTTTTGAAAAGTTTTTATTATGCCATAAAAGGTGTTAATTTGACAAATTAATGCAACATATGCCGTGCCGAACATTTGCCAAAATCGTACACTCGGAAACAAATTAGTTAACTGCAAATCGCACCACACCACACCACACCACACCACACCACAGACAATGTGTGGCACAAATGATAGATTATTGTATGGCCGCCATATGTTGCCGCTGCCTCTATTTAGTGGCAATTAATGGTTGCACGATAAAACTGTGGAAACTGTGAAAACTGTGATGCATAATCGATGCAAGATTGTCTTTAATCTTTCAAATTGCAACTGCTGGTTTATGGTTTATGGATTGCTGTTTGGGCCATGTATTTTTTTCGAGGCGTGTCGAACGTTTAATTTTGAATGTACATATGTGTAGGGGTGTGAATCTATTAACGGACTAGCTGACATTCGAAAGATTGAAATTTGACTGAAATCATCAATATTTTTGGAGTTAGATGCCCCATTCAAGATTCTCTATATATATGATCTTTAACCTCATATATATTGAAGGTAACCTACAATATTTTGAGGATGTTTTCAACCCTTTTTAAAGGTTAAGGATTTCAAGGGGAAGGTCTACCCTTCACCACAATTATTCCTGGAATATTATCAACAAAAAAGCATATCCTCTTTTTAATCTGTCATGAATCTGCAAAAAACGACAAGTGTTGCTTTTTTGCGCACAAAATTTCAATAGTTTTTCTGCAATTCCCGCAAACATAATTGAAGGTTGAAGCCTGCTTCCTGAGTGGTTAACTGGCAGTAAAAAAATTGCATAGATATCAGAAATATGTTGGCAAATTGATTAAATTATTGTCTAGCCACCTGTCTGGCATCTGCTGCTGGTTTTTATTTTATTTTTTTTTGGCTCTCAAACGCTGTTTAACAAGTTCATGAACCGAGCAAATGTTCGAGAGATAAACAAACTGTGTTTGAACCTCCTCCTACCTTTCATTCGAGAGGAGAGCAATTTTCGCATTTGTCCGGCACTTTGGTACTCATTTAACCGGTAGTCCCCGGGAGTCGGGAGTCGAGAGTCGGGACAGCAGCGATCGCCACTGAACCATTAAGTAATTTTCAATTTGCACAGAAGACGCGACGAGGCGCGGTGCGGTGCGGTCCAACAACAATGACAGCATAAACAAACGAATTTCAATTACACTGCTCTGCAATTACCCTGGCCCCCTCTCTGTTTGGTGGAAAATTGCTGGAAAAGAGTCTTTCTGGTGCGCCCCCCCCTTTGCATGTTCTAAATGGAAAATTTACTTGGGAAAATTGCTCCAAACCAAAGCCACAAGGCAGACGCAGAAGGAAATGAAAATGAAAAGATAGGGGAAAAGCACTTGATTCCCGGAAAAATCGGCTCGAGTCCGATGATGTGCGAAAAGTTGAGAGGAATTTTTGTATTTAATTTTTAGAGGTCTACCATTTTGTGGGGCAGGTAATAAAGATTTAGTGGCACCCTCCGGCAGGACTTAACGTGTTCCCATTACAGCTTTGAGTGGCGCCCTCTGGCCGTGCCCCAAAGGAAGCCTCAACAGATTTGAGAGTTTACTACTAGTACTCTATATAGTGTAATGGGACGACATTGGGCAATAATTGAGATCATAAATGGACAACAAATTCAATTTAAATTATAGTCGAGCAATAGTCGGATTTGATAGCTGCCCCAGGCAGGGGACACTGGAACTAGACTCCAAAGTCCGCCATAAATCGATGATTTTTATGCTCACTCAATGGTAGCTATTCGAACATAAATTAGGCAAATAATTGTTATTTGAAGGCCATTAAAGAACTCAATCAATGATGATGGAAACACGAAGAGTTTCTACGGTTCACCCACCGTTAAATGCGCTATTTGCGGAGAAAAAACAATGGCACTATGACCCCAATGCATCCATAAATACGAGTGCGAGTGCGAGTGCGAGTACGAGTACCGTGCCATACCTGTCACGTCATATGATAATCACTAGGGTGCACGGCACACACGAAGGCGCCCAGAAGTCTGCTCTCTTTTGGGGCAAATTGAGCCATTGGGCAGAATACTTATCTGCCGGGCTGGTGGAGTGGTCTGCTCCAGAAAAGGCTCCACTTCCACTCCCCACTCTCTTATCTGCCAATGTCTCTTCCATTCATCCATCCAGCGCCGCTCTTCCTTTTTGGGTCAGAGGCGCAGGCATAACTCAGCGGAAAGAGAGGGGCTTGGGGCATGGGGCTTGCTTGGCGATTTATGAAGTGACAAAAATTAATTTCAACTGTTAACTTATCGCACAACCAAGAAGCAACAAACAACAGGCAACAAACTGTAACTGTAGCAGCAGCAGCAGCAGCAGTGGCAGTGGCAAGAGAGGAAAGCCCACTTCGAGAGCCGAAGCTTCGGATACTCTTTTTACCATGGCTACAATATGATCTGGATTCTCGATTGCGATACAATTTGTTTGAACTATTTTACTGCTGAAGGATGATTCCTACAAAGAGGGCGATACACTCTTGTTTAGAAATCCTCTCTTTAGTGCCCTACAACTGTCGTAATACCCTCTGCGAGGGTACACACCATCTAGTGGCAGCGCCTTTTAAGGCTTTGGCAACTGCAACTGCCGCAACTGGAATCAACAGCAGCAGCAGCCATGCACCACTGCCGTTGGTAATAAAACTGTCATGCCCGCAGCCCCCTACCCCCCGCTGCACTGCCCCTGCCACTGCCCCAGCGATAACAGTGGCAGCGGCGAAAAATGTCGTTTAAACTGTGACTGCGACTGTT